ATTTGAAAATAATGTAAAAATTTGAATCTTATATTTTTTCCCGTAATGCGCACGTACTGTATATAATTAATATATATATATATATTTACGAATGATACTATTTTTTAAAAAAACAAAACAATAAATAATTCTTAATATAGAAAAAAAATAATGATTTTTTTTTTATAGAAAAAACGGATAGATCTCTTTTTCTATGAAATTTCATTTTTAAATAGAAAGAATAGAAAAGAAACAAAAAGAATGAATGATAAATAGTTATTTTCTCAAAATGATTATTATATTTATAGTAAAAAATTTCAATTTTTTTAGTTATTAACGTGATGAAATTTCGAACAATCACAGTGACAAAAAATAAAGTAAAATAAAATATAATTATATAAAAATTATTGAAACTTTGCTGCCATGTTTGAAATTTTTTCTTTTTTTTAAGTATTAAACACCCTACTTCTATAAGATCGTAGTCTCTTTCAATAATTTTATCGTATCCTCTTTTTTTACAGTATTCCATAGGAAATCTATTATATGATTCTTGATATCCTATTTTATCTAAAAATTCATTGTGAAAACTTGTTCGCTTGGTATACACATGTTAATATACAAATATATATAAAACAATCCCTATTCTAAAAAAAACATACATGAACTTTTAAACTAAATTAATTGTACCTTATGTTAATTACATACATTTTTTGCATTAACTAATTTCTAAAATTGAAGCATCTTGTAGTGCCACCATTCATCGCGGTAGTGGCCATCATAACCACAAATTCCGTATATTTATTTAATAAGCAATTCATTTTGAACATTTTTTTAAAAAACTAATATATATGAAATGTATACGGAAAAAATTAATCCTGCGGAATGTATACGGAATTTTTAAACAATATTTTTATTACAAAAATCCCGTATCATAACATGAGATCACGTGATTGTTTATTGTTTTGTTATGATACGTTTTTTGTTTTTTATAAACCCTTACTTTGATGAGTTTGATCTTCCGATCTTCCTTTCTGTCTTTCCTTTCCTTTCACTTTTCTCTTGTCTTATTTTTGTTATTTTTTCTAAATTTTTCTTCTTTCTTCGTCACCCCCTTTTAAAAAACAATATTTTTTTTTCGTACCTCACTTTAAAAAAATTTTTTTCGTCACTCCTTTAAAAAAAAATTTTTTTTTGATTTTATTCTTTTATTCTCACTCATCTTTTTTTTTTAACTTTCCTAACTTTGTTACCCCTCTTTTTAAAAAAATATTTTTTTTTAATTTATTCTTTATTCTCTTTCTTTTTTATTTATATTTGTCCCTTTTTTTATTTCATAGGCCAGCAGATTTTTTTTTGTGAGAAGATTCAGTTTCTTTTTTCTTTTGTAGATCAGTTTGGGAGTCCTTTCTTTTTTGTAGGATGGTTCAGGATTTTTTTCTTTTTTTAGGTCAGTTCAAATTTTCTTTTTTTTTCGAAAGTTGGGTTCAGATTCTTTTCTTTTGTAGGTTGTTTCAGTTTTGTTGCTTCAAAGCCTTCTTTTTTTGTAGGTCAGTTTTGGATTTATTTTGTTGTTTTGGTTTCTTTTTCATCAGACGCTTCATAATTCTTTTCATTTATGTAGGTCAGACATTCTGGAGTTCTCTTTCTTTTTTTGTAGGAATGCTGACCTTTGGTGACTTGGACGATTGCAGATACTATATGAAGGGGGGTTTTGTTTCCAATTAAGTTAGACGTTCTTATGTTTCTTTTTTTTGTTCTTTTTAGGTTGTTTGACTCCAAATGAACCTGAACTTATAGATAATTTTGGTTGCAATAGGTGGTTTTAATAAGGAGGGAATTTTCATAATGTATTTGTATTTTGTTTATTTTTTATTTTTTATTTAATTTAATAAAGTAAAATTAGATTTATAGTAAACTGTAATACAAATAGTAAATTCAGTGACCAAATCGTATAAATTTCATGATAAAATCAGTGATCAAATCATGTAAATTCCATATGAATCCCGTATCAAAACCATATTTTTAGTGATAGGAATTGTGCATTTTCCCGTATCCTATTATGATATGTTATTTCTAAGGAAAAAAATCGTATAAAAACTTTATAAAAAACGTATCCAATTTTTTTATAGGGCTTGGAATACTTTAATTATTATTATTTTCGCGCCATCATCATACCATTATTAAGCATGCCCGTACAATAACATACAATTATCTATAAAAATTGTTTCTTTTTCAAAATCTTGTATTATGCATTGTATGTATGTACAGTATCTTTCCTTGCTTTTTCCTACTATAATTTTTTTTTTGGTAAGATCCATTTGATATTCTTTTCTTTTTTTTAATAGAACCTGTTTAATATTTTTGATAGTGTATTTTTGTTAATAGGATCTATTTGATAGTACTTTTTTTTGATAACTGAAGGTCTTCTATATGAATAAATCACCATACTCAAAAAACAATTTCTTTATCCAAGTATTATTAATATTGTTTGGATCCTAAAAAAAAATAATAATAGTTTTTATTACTCGCCTCGCTTACTTTTCACTAACTGAAGTTCTATAACTTAAAATTTTTGATGATCGTATCTTTTTTCAAAATTAAAATTAGTCATTAGTCATCGTAACTATAAATTTGATTCAAAGATAAACATTTTATCAAAAATGGATTTTTCTTAACAAAAAAAGGAAATGATAAAACAAACGATTTCCATTTTTATTTTAAATTTTTTGTCAATTTTTTTTTCATTATGAGAAAAGAATAAATTAAAAGTGGTAAGTGATTTCCTTTTCTAACAAATAATGCTAACAGTATATACTGTATAAAGGGAATTATATTAATATAATACGCCCAATTTTTCATTTCATATGATTGTCAAAAATTTAATGCATTTTAGGATATGATCATCATTTCGTCATAATAAATCCCTAATAACAATAGAAGAATTATTCTGATTAATAATAACTCTATTATTCAATATTTATTATTAAAAGCGCTCCCTATGGAATTACTAGAACCCGAAATTTTCTTTGATGATCACATAATTAGAAGTTCATAAAACAAACAGTTAAGAAATATGATACTTTTAGATTGGTCGACTTCTTATAACCCCTCACTAACCATTTAAATTGCAAACTAAGTGAATCACTTGGATTAGGGGCCTTCGTAAAATCAGTATATCCCGATCCCATAGTTCCTCCAAAGTAAATATAGCTAGATTTACTATTACGGCAATAAATGATATATTTTCAGTAATAGTTTCTCACTTTATAAGGGGTTGAAAAGAGGCCAATAAAAAGGTTATCATATTTCGTATCTTCCATATTATCAGAAATAGTCCCCAATTGAAGCCGTACCCAATACATTTAGATGTTGTACTATGATTGTGTATAAACCGATATCAGAAATATGGGATAAATTAATTCCCATTATTCTATCAGTATTATGTATACACCGATGGATTTTTTTTGTAAATTATTCCACCGGTATAAAAAAAGTATAAAAAAGTATAAAATCCATCGGTGTATACGTCATACACAATGAGATAAGCCTGTTAGTATTCCATGAGTATCTAATAAATACTCCATATACAGGGCCCCTGAATATTTCAGTTATTCATTGATGCCCAAGTATTTATTCAAGATATAATTCAAATAGAAATCGTAGTGTTGATACGCAAAGTAGGACGATCATCGCACCCCTTATAGGCCCATCCAGATCTTTCCTTTCTTGATATGGTATAATGTCGATCGATGTCCAAATACGCCACAACGACGGATCTTTGTTTAAAACTCCGGTTTCTCCGTTTCGAAAACAAATAAAATAAAATAGAAAACAAACGGATTCATAGTATAATGTTTCCTATTTGAAGTGGCTCAATTTATTTCGGGCACTGTATATAATTTAATTGCAACATTTCTTTGCAACTGTTAGAATGGCAAGGCGTTTAATATTAATTAGAACTAGAACCACTATTGTATATTGAAACTGACTAACTTTTTCAATAAAAAAAAAGAAATTATAACTTTTATAAAATTTTTAAAAATTTCTTTTCCCTTTTGTATGGTTGACTTATATGATTAAAGTCATAATAAATCATGCAGATGAATGTATCCGTAGCGGAGCGAGGGACTATGTGTTTTTACGCGAAAGACTATTATATATTTTTATGACAATTAAGATCACATTATGATTTCCATTTGCACTTTAGATTATTAAAAATATTTTTTTAAACGTCATATCTCGTTATATATTATTATCTCTTCATTCATTAATTTCTAAAAAAAATTTAGGCATCTTTATTTCAAAGGATTTATTAGTCATTTCGCCAAAATTTTGAGCATTTTACTCCGATTTTACAATGATTTTTTGTGACAAACAATGATGTCTCACATTCTCATTATTTATCCATTATTATTCTTTATAATGGCTTTATAAGTTACAAAATTTATAAATTACGAATTCGTATTAAAATCATAATAAAAATTTGATTGCATTATTATCACAACGCTGTGACATGATGTCATTTGCAGTTGACGCACAGTAACTAAATTTTATTATGCGTATGTGAAATCATTTCGTAAATGAAACACGTATTATGTGACTTCAACCGCAGTATTATTGTTTCAATTTAACCAATTTCGGTAAATTTTTATTTAATCCGAAACATAATTCGAGCATTGATAGACAGACAGAATACTTTGTTTATATAGACATATAAGTAAAATTTATTTTCTTTTGTTAAATTAGAAAAAAGAATTATCTATTACATCTATTTATTAAAAGGCATTCAATAAATTAACTTTAATGTCATTGTTATTATTGAAATTTAACAACAAAGCAAGTAATTAACTATAAAGTCCTTTGTTTCTCTTTTTTATCACATAAACTCCGATAAATGACTCTACCTATGAAATTGATCAACGTGCATGCGACACAAAAAAAAAACGGTCGCGAGATAAATACGCCATCCTTTTTGGACAAACTTCTTAAAAATTTTCCACCTTTCGAAAAAGAATAACAGTATCGATTTAAAATATATAAATAAAAAAAAAACATGTCTTTATTATTCGACGAAGAAGTATTTATCATATTATTATCATAACGAACTTTATATATTTATATTCTTACTTATACTAATTTATTTATATTTCTTGTAGAGTAATAAACTTATCAGAAAATATATGAAAGAATATGAACATATTCATAATCGTTTCGTTTTAATTAGTAAGTTAGTCCCGAAATACAAACCGAATCAACTTTCAAATTAGTAAGTTTTAATTGAACAATTTTTTTCTTCTTATTTAATAAAAAAATAAAAAAAAATGGTAAAGTAACTTTAAAAAAAATTTATTTAGTTGGAATAATTATCTCGATCCACGCCGTATGTAATCTCATATTATTCATATTTTTCTTTAAAAAAGTATTTAACAAATGAAATAAATATTTATTATTATATAGTATGTCTCGAGCCTTTAAGTGATGATGAAAAAAAATATATTATTGAACATGTTCAAAGCAATCGAAGAATAAATGGACTTATTAATTGGAAACTCGTCGTCAATGGTTTAAAAAATAAATTTGGTAAGCTCCGTTCTGAAAATAGAGTTAGAAATTTTTGGAATTCAAAACAAAAAAGTGATTTAAGGAAGGCTAAAAGACAGGAAAGAAATTCTCGCCCTCATAATCTAATTGAAGAAAGTGTTCGTCCAAATTTACCATTACATTATAAACCTCAATTGAATGATACAATAAACAATCAACAATATCTTTCAACGTTACCCATTATGGAGCCTTATGTTACATTTAATTTTAATATGCCTATTAAAATGAACCCAGTTTTTTAAGTACTATCAGTTTATAGAATTTTATAGAATCTTTTATAATCACAATTAAGTAAATTTAATAATAATAATTATTATTTATTATTGATGTTTGTGTATTACACTTACACACTTACACCACTTACATCATATAGACATTTTATTAGAACAATATTTAATCATTCAAAAAATCAATTCTCCACTTACTTTCAAATTATGTGAATTATGTTGTGTTCATTTTCATTTCATTAACTATTTTGACTAAAAAAAAAAAAAAAATCTATGTACCCCTAAAAATTATGCTTAAAATAGATTTTTAAGTTTTAACATTTTATTACAAATAATAAAAATTGAAATTCCCAAAGTCCATATTGTTTCGAGTCCTTTTGTAGTACGGCGCCACAAAGACTAATTGAGATCTACACTTTTTCGATTAATTTAGATGATTGGTTTTACTGATCACCATATCCATTATATTATGCTTACTAATTTCGGTTTTTCTCCGATATGGTAACACTTCGGAGTTATAATGGAATACTAACTCCTATATTAAAATAAATGTTCATTCATTTTTTCTTCAACTGGAAACTTTAATGATTCATTGAAAGAAAAAACTGTTGTATCACAAAACATGCAACATTAAATTATTTATGAATAATAAAAAGGTTTTTTCTTTGTAAATGAAACTTGTCATTGATACTTATGATGTCATTCATCGCTCTAAATTCTGATATTCATGAATGACAATATTGAGAAAATAAATATCTATTAGATCAGAAGGCTATTGTTCAATTAGTATTTGTGATATTGATTTTTTTACCTGAAGTGAACTCTTTTAGTATTGTATAATCACAATTAATTAATTAATAAAATAAAGTAAATATAATTAATTATGATTGGACGTTAATCGCCATAAAAATTTAGATATTTTTTTCTTTTCTTTCTTTTTTTTTTAATATAAATATATTTGTGACTAATATAGATGGATAGAAAAAAAATTNTTGTTAAATTATTAAATTATTTAACGCATAAAATCGTTAACCAGTTGAAAAAAAATGTCTGCTTGGGTCATCAATTTCCAAAAACTAAAGTATGTTTATAATGCTATCTTAATGACTTAAAATCAATATTTATAGGATTAAACAACAGGAGAGGCATTGTTGACAAAAAAGGATTACTATCGCAAAGTAGGTTTAAATCATTAATCTTAATTACTATAACAATATAAATGAGGTTAGTGCTTGGATCTGAATAAACCGTTATGCGGAAAATTAAGAAATTCTCCGAATTGTCCGATCCGAATAAATCCGAATAGAAGTTACAATCCGAATTGTGGCTATCAAAAAAAAAAATAATTTATAAGCTTGAATTAAATAAAAAATATAATTCCGCTAGTAACCCGACGATCAGTGCTGTTCGAATCCTATTTAGAACACTAAAAAAACTTTATCCTTCTAAAAAGACTATTAACCCTATAAAAATTTTTAGAAAATTGATTACATATCGGAGTTTTTTTGGAACGGAAACTAGAAAAATGTTCATTTATCGGAATTTCCCCAGAAAATTTGTTAAGAACGGAGAGTAAAAAAAAAAAAAGCAATCATCTCAATTTATTAATAATCATCAAGCTTCTCAGTTACTCAGCTATTTAGTCAGAAAAATATAAAAGTTCGTTATCATACATAATTCATTAATTCAGGTAGATTTACCACGAAATCCCGACAATCAGGAATTCAGGATTCTATTATAATACAAACCCGACGCCGACGATAATATACTCATGAATACAAAAATTTCAAGAAATTATTTATTAAATTTAATCAGTATATTAAAAATAAATAATTATATAATTATATGCAAAAAATTGCATAATTTGCATTTTTATTTTATATAAAGCAATATACTGGAATTTATTAATTTATTTTTTCTAATTAACTAATAACATTAATAATATTCATTAAATTTTGCGAAGTTATTATTAAAATTATTAAATATTAAAAAAAATATATTTAATTGTTACTTAATTTTACGACGTAAAAAATATTAAAAAATCATTAATTCTTGCAAAACATTTTAAAATTATTACATATCAATAAAAATATTATTTGTTACAAAGTAATAAAATCTTTTTCATCTTGTATTTCAATATCAGTCAATAATTTAACAAAAAAAAAATAATAATAATGTAAAATTAAAAAAAAAAGATTCTGAATTTTTGAGATTATGATTTGTCAGGGTTGTGAATGGTTCCCAGTTCAGTAAAAAATCGCGGTATGCATGTGGGATCTAAAAGAGGAGACAGTTTGTGGAAGGACATTAAGAAGGCTAAAACAAAATTTTCTAATTTTCTAATACCATAATTATTCGGTCACTAATATTTTTTGCTTTGATAATAAATGATAATAAAATTCTGTTTTTTATTAAAAAATAAGGGTATTGGCCGTATTGCTAAACATCACAGGTGGTGATGGTCACCGATGGTTAAATTATGATGCAATGCCGGCCAGTATTTTATTGGGTTTTTAATTCTGGTCGAAAATACATCATAATGCTGGTACGGTGACCATCACCGCCAGTGATCTTTAGCAATTTACAAAAGTATACCCCTTAAGAATTACTTACTGTATAATAAAAACTACACATCAAGGTGTATTACATATGCATCTCGTTGAGTCAATAAATAAACGGTCTTTAAGTTTATTTTGATCAACAAAAAAAGTTTTACAATAGAATATAAAAATGCACCTTTTTACTATTTAAGAAATTTGCAGCAAAACAATTAATTTATCAAAAATGCTTTTTCTTTGATCTACTAGTATAAGACATTATTCGTTGTAAAAATATCAAATCATCCATTGAAAGTATAAAAACTGAATTATTTATTTTCTTATTATTAAAAAAAAAAAATCCTGTTAAATATATGCTTATTTTGTAGGACGGTGAATTTGTCAAACAATATTTGAAAGAATGAAAATTCTTATAAATGACTTGTTTTAATTAGAAAATTAACCCAAGATAAAAAGTATATATATACAAGATTTACGGCAAGGTNAAAGAATGAAAATTCTTATAAATGACTTGTTTTAATTAGAAAATTAACCCAAGATAAAAAGTATATATATACAAGATTTACGGCAAGGTATATACTGTATGTTTATAATCAGTAAATAAATTTTTTTTTCTTTCTTACTTTTCTTGAAGATATTAATAAATATGTTTAATAATTTAATTATAGATGGAATAACCATCTTAATCCGCGTTATGTAATTTATCTATTAATATTAATTTATTTTTTTGTTTATTGATTTCTATTCTGAATAAAAAAGAATTACATTAATTTAGTTTATCTTTTATACTGATATTCTATTAGTATGTCACGACCCCTTGACACACAATGAAATAAAATTTATTATTGATCAAGCTCAAGATCAAAAGGCATCGATTGAAATTCATATATAACGATAATTAAATTTGGCAAATTACGTTCTACAACTAAAATCAAAGATTTTTGGTACTCATGGAATCTTGATTCAAGTTGTGTTTACAGTAAAGTATATAATATATATTTTTTAAAAAAGAGTACGTGTGTATACATCTTTACTAGGTGTCGGGACTTTTTGCCGATATCCATTTATTTCTATTTCACCGAATTCCATTTCGCCGAAGCTAAGCCATTTTACCGAATGAACATTTCGCCGAAAATTATTTATTCCATTTGGCTATTTTATTGTTTTTATACTATAAAGAAATCTTTTCTAGAAATTTTTGAATTATATACAGTAAGTTTGAATTTTTCTAACTATCACAGGGGGGTGATTATCACCGGTGACTGAAATTATGACAATCGACCAGCATTAAAAAAATATAGTGCCGGTAAAAATTGATAATTCTGGCCAACGGTGAAGATCACCCCAAGTAAAAACCTACAAGGACGAGTTTCCAATTAATAAGACCGTTTATTCTTCGATTGCTTTGAACATGTTCAATAATATTTTTTTTCATCATCTGTTAAGGGCTCGAGACATACTATATAATAAAGAAATCCATAAATGTTTATTCCATTTGTTAAATATTTTTTTAAAGTACTTTACAAGAAATATAAATAAATTAGCATAAGTAAGAATATAAATACATAAAATTCGTATCATAATAATATATTCTCCGTAGAATAATAAAAACATATTTTTTTTATTTGTATATTTTAAATCGATACTGTTATTCTTTTTCGAAAGGTGGAAAATTTTTAAGAAGTTTGATGGCGTTTACCTCTCGACCTTTTTTTTTGTGTCGCATGCACGTAGATTTTAAAAAAAGCTATAAAATATCCTAAATATCCTTACATTCTGGGTTGCAATCCTTTTACACTCAAGCTTATCTTAGCAATTGTAACTTATCAAGATCCATAATCCTAACTTTTTTTGGTAGTAATAACAATATTACTGCTGTTATGAATGTACGTGATTTTTAATTAATTAATTTATTTATTTATTCTTTCTTTAACTTATATTCTTGCATTTTTTTAATAAAAAAGCACAATACGAGTATACAGGTAAATTGTTATTTTTTGTTTGAATTTATTGAGCCCAACTTATTTTATCCTTCAGTTGGTTAGGATTTATTTTGATTTAAAATTAAAACCATTCAATTACTAGTTATTAATTAGTATTAATTAATTAATTAATTAATTAATTATATTTTATTTTATAAAAGTCACGCGAGCCAAATAGCATCAATGTATTATTGGATGATAAGATAATTTGTTACTATGACTCTCAAGAATTTAAAAATTTTGCTAAGATTGGCTCTGGAGGATTTTCTACAGTTCATGTCGTATATTGGAAGAACACAACGAAATTTGCGATTAAAAAATTTAATGAAAGTTTAAGCTCTATGAAAGAAATCATTAACGAAGTATGTTAATAATTTAACTCTGTTTATATATAGTATACTGTATCCGTATTATTTTATTGACATTGTTATTTTTAATATTATGAATTCTTCATTTAGATTAATTTAATGATAATAGCCTCTCATCCAAATATAATTCGATTTTATGGAGTTACGAAATTAAAAGGTATGAGGTATGAGGTATGATAATAATTTGATCGCTTGATATATATTTTAAGTATAATTCTTTTTATAATTTAAGGTGAATCGGATGGAATAAATTATTCATTCGTTCTTGAATACGCGGACGGGGGGACATTGGAAAATCATTTAAAAGACAATACTAAATCTTTAATTAGATGGGAAATTCAATTTAAGTTTGCCAAAGAAATTACAGGTGCAATTTTATGGTTACATGATAATAAAATCATACACGGAGATCTTGTAAGTATGATCAATTTATTTTAATATTGTTATCATATTATATAATTAACACTAATTAAACACATTAAGGTATTATTCATTCTATTTAGCATCCAAAAAATATATTAATACATCAAAATACAATAAAATTATCAGATTTTGGATGTTCGCGTTTGCGTCAACAAGGAAAAGATTCTTATTTACCTACTAAACCACGTGGAATAATACCTTACGTTGATCCTAAAATTCTTAATAATGTTAAGGGTTACGATTTAAACGAAAAATCAGATATATATAGTTTAGGAGTAATATTCTGGGAATTAACTAGTTGTTCATCACCTTTCAATTATGAAACAAGGAATGATAATGCATCTATTATATTAAAAATTCTTGATGGTGAAAGGGAAAAACCTATTCCAAACACAAACGATAAATTCGTTGCGCTTTACGAAGGTAAGTTTGAGCTAATACTATTAATTTTTAACTGCACGATCTAATTTTAAAATTTATTTGAATAGAATGTTGGAGACAAGAACCAGATGAAAGACCAGATGTTCACAAAGTAAATTCGGAACTTAATAAAATTATTGATTCTACTGATCCTAAAGTCAACACAAGCTTAGCAAATAATTTTAAAAATGAAAGTGAAACAACAGTAATATTAAGAAATGATAATTCTGACTTACCAAATTTGCCAAGTTGTGATGATTGTGACATAAATTCTGATAAGTATCAAATATGAAAACTTATATTATTTCGTTTATTATTCTTTTTTTTCGGTTTTTATTACGAACGCAAACAAATTATTCGAGTTATTTCAATTTTTCTTTCATTTTATCACCGTTTTTTCATATTTTTTTTCCCGGGTTTTATTACAAATACGAATAACTTTTCGTTTATTGTTATTCTTTTTTTCGGTTTTAATTACAAACGCAAGCAAATTATTCGAGTTATTTCTCGGGTTTTATTACAAATAAAAACAACTTTTTCGTTTATTATTATTCTTTTTTTCGCTTTTATTACGAACGCAAACAAATTATTCGAGTTATTTCAAATTCCTTCATTTTATCGCTTGTTTTTTCGTTTTTTTTCCTCGGATTTTTTATTAAAAATACAATCAACATTTTTTGATTTATTTCAAGTTTTCTTTAGTACATGTGTGCACAGCTGCTTTTTTTTAATTTTATACAACCATTTTTTTATATATATGTATGCATGCATTGCTAGATTTCTTACAATCTGTATGTTTCGTCTAAAAATAATTTGCAAACCAATTAATAATAATTAATTTAAATGTATTTTTTTTTAATAATAATAATAACAGTATTAATAATAAAAATGTTAATAAAAAAATATCAATTTGCCTGTAGCGATCATGTCAATCCACTTTGATCGAGCCTAAAGAATTTTTATAATAATAATTAATATTTAAATAATAATAAAAATAATAATGAAGTGGTAGAAAATATTAAATTTAATTTATTGTCATTTTCAAAATGGGCGTTCTTAATAATGAAAACAGCAAAGTAGGATCCCGAGATATATATATTATAGGTCGTCACACATTTACTATTCTCTCTAGTACGCTTTCTTCAGGGCCGGCACTATGTAATGCCGGTCGGCATTATCCACAAATGGAAGCGAGCTACATGATTTTGGAGCAAATAACCAAAACCCCTTTCTATGTATAGCTCGGGTCCTAGCAAAGTATTGCCTAAAGACCTATACAATATTTCTCCGATATTTACATTCTCTACATACTTTATATTACCACAATATTAGAATTACTATACATTATTCCTTGTTTTTATTAAAGGATCCTAATTCCATATGAGCATCACGCGTTAATACATTGATAACATGTGCGGAGTTAAATGGAAAAAAAAAAGATTGAAAAAAATAATATAAAAAAATCGGTCGAAACAATAGGGTTATTTAATAAAAAAAAAAAATTTTCAGTTTGGGAAAAAAAATTAAACTTAAACAGGAAAAGAATGAGAAAAATCAAATTTTTCGGTTTGAAAAAAAACTAAACCGTAAGAAGAAAGGGATAAAAAATTTTTTTTCTGTTGAAAAATTTAAAATTAATAATCAAAAACAATTCTGATTAAGGCAAAAAATTTCATTAACTGAAATTGTATTAGTTGATTGGAATGTACGGATTTCAAGTTACACAATTCATATTATTTATGCGAAAACTAATCCAAACGTCAAATAATTTTTTTTAATTATATAGTTTTTTTAGTTATATAGATTTATCAAAAAATTTATTATAGATTTAATTACAATATTATTAATATTGTTATGTATCTATATAATTAAAAACAATCTTACTAAAAAAAATTCGTTAGTATCAAAAAAAAAAATTTTTCACTTTAGTCGGAAAAAAACAATCTCAATAAACAAAAAAAAAGTTCTCACTAAATCAAAAAAATTCTCACAAAAAAAAAATTTCATGCGAATTTATTAGTCAGAAACAATATCACCAACATAGTTCTAATCTGATTATAGTCTTGACCCAAACCAAAAAAGAATAAACAATATTTTTTGGGTTAAAAAAAAATTCCAAAAATTTTGATAAATTCCAATTGAAAAAAAAATCCCCTAAAAAAATCCAATAAAAGTAAAACAAAAAAAAAAATGACTGAAAAATAAAAAAAAATTATTATTATAGAAATGGTTAGTCGTGGTAACTAAAAGAGCAGAAATGACTGCAATTAATAAGAAAAATTATACTTTTTTTTTGTTAGTATTAATCCATCAGAATAAAAAAAATCTAGTTAAAATTTTAATTAACCGGAAATGTATTAGTTTAAAGATTGGTTATTGTAGTATGATATGATAAATACGGAACGAAAGAATATCACACTTTTCAATGTTACACAACTCAAATTATTTATACAGAGTAATCTAAACATGACAAAATTTTTTTAATTAGATAGATTAGATAGATACAGTATATAATAACATATAATATTATTTTATTTTCTTATGAACTTATTTATAAAGAAATAGCAGATAGGTTAGAGATAATGGCAGTGTAATAAACCTTAAAGAAGTTACTTTAATAGACATAATAAATCTATTGGATTAAAGATTTTATAAGGTGTTACATTGGATGAAAATACATTATTATTCTACTTTTAAATTATTTTTCATCATTTTATATTTTTTATTTACCAGTAATTAGTTAATATACATATAATTATTATCAAACAAATCAAAATTGAAAAAGAAATAACAAAAATAAACTAAACTAGAAGAAGAGACAAAAAATCTACTTCAACGGTTGAGGTAATAATTATAAACGAAACTATTTAAAACCTATATAATAAATTCTAAAAACATTTCTATAATTAACCCACTACCTCCCATTCTCCAATAAAATTAGATAAGCCCGCCCTGTAGAAAGATTATAACATAACCCTATAAAATTTATACGAGCTAATAATAATTAATCTACATTAGCACTATGAAGCTAGATTAGTATAAAATTATATAATATTTTTACCAAAATAAATGTTATTTCTAATACTATCTAATGCATCAAATAGTGCTCCGAATGATACGAGTCAACCCGGGTTAATTTGACCCGACTCGACTTTTAAATCGGGTCGATACTAATGATTTTTAATGACCCGTGACCCGCATGACCCGCATGACCCGACCCGCCGGGTCGGGTTATAAATTTCCTTGACCCGGGTTTGACCCGGGTTTTGACCCGGATCGACCCGGATGTTTTTAATTCTGGGAAAATTATAATTTTGGCCAAAATTAAGCCAAGAATTAGTTTTAACAAATATTAACATAGCTTAATCAGAAAAATAAAAAAATTAACCTTTGACTTTTGAGAATAATATTTTTCTGATAGCTTTAGAATTCCAATTTATCTTTGATTTGAATATCTGCTAATTATTTTGCCTAATTCTTTGACTTTTATTATATTAAACCAGGTTCAAAATTCGTATTTTTAATTTTATTTTATTTAATTAGTCTAGGAGAAAATAAGAGCTAGTGTTACATGT